GTTTTTGCATATATATGTGTTAGTTTTGTACAATTATTTGATTCTTATAACTTAGGCACATAGAAAGGTATCTTCTGGCTATCCAAGTTTTCAGTAGCAAAAAATTCTTCCTAAATGACAATTAGTAAAGACATTTTCATCTTCAAAGGAGAAATTTCCACTCCTTTAGTCTGGGTTAAGCAAAAAAAAATAACTGCCACCTAGGGTTTTCTGCATCTGCAGAGATCAGGTAATCTGAAATCTGCAAGCACTATCCCTAAACTGAAGACATCATTCTGGGTAGGAATACAGAAGAGAACATTGCTGTCTAAACATTCTGATTTCTCTAAAATGATTTGTGACTTTTCACTATTAGCTTCATATATTAAAAAATGTGAATGTGATTTCAGATGAAGAATTCTTCCTATTTATTAGGATTTTTGTATACAAAGTATAAAAATACACAGGGATTTTTCATTTTGCTTTGTTGACATTTTGTTTGCTTGTTTTTTAAAGCATATCATAAAAGCTATTGGAAAGGGGATAAATAGTTGCGATTCCTGTTGTCTGCTGAAGAATATGTTAGTTCTGAATTATTTTTTTTTAAGTTTATATATCTCTGTTTAATATTTGCCTGGGCTTTAGAAAGAAGACTAGTTATTCCACATAAATGAATACGAATATAGGCATTCTGTGAAGACAAACCATTAGAAGTGTTTTGATCAATGTTTTTAATTCAAATGAGCTGTAAGAATTCCTTGGTGAATAAAACATTACTAAAAGTTGAATTTTGTGACTCATAGAGCTTTAGAGTTCATTCTGAGTTGCAGTATGCAGTGCAAGGAAGCAGACTTTATACAAAGATTTTAAAACATTTACACTTCCTGTAACATTAAAATTCCAGAAATATTAAGTGCAGAAAAAAAAACCTAACCACCTTTATAAAACAAAACTAAGTAATTTTTAACAAGTCTAAAATATTTCTGTAATTTTTTAAGATGCGTTATTTTACCTCGCAAAATGTACCTATAGCCAAAAATGACAATTTTAAAAGAAGATATGGGTACAAACTTGGTCCATCTACATCCAATATTATTACCTAACAAATTTAATCTATCAATATGCTCTAATTGGCTACTATTTCGCACTCTTTTAAAGCAAGAACAAACACACAAAACCCTCTCGATTAAAATTAACTGGTAACAGAATGAAGTAAATATTTTTATGCAAAAAAAAAAAAATTATGAGGAACACTGGACAACGATTATTTTTTTTTTTTTTCTGGATACTGAAAAGAAAGAATAGATTTATAAGAGGAATAGTAACAAGAAGAAATAGTAACAAGAGGAAAACTGGTTTAAAATGGGAATGTACCACAGTGTTTTATCTCACAAAACTGGCATCTGTTTGGGCCAGAATTATTTCAGTTTGATTTCAATAAAGTTAAAAAGTCTTTTAGTTTCACAGTTTCCCATACCAAAATTAGCTTTTATTTACATGTTTCCTATATCAAACAGTTTAAAAGCAGTGATATTGAACTTGCCTTAAAAAAAAAAAAATACTATGTTTAAAATGCCTGTATTGTAAAGGGTAGACATATATTTTGTTACATTATTTATTTCTTTAACAATCATACGGTGTTTCTCATTGGCAGTAATACAGTAGTCTTTTTATGGCCTTATCTGTTCTAAATTCTTTTGTCTCTACGATATATATATATATATTTTGTTTTTTCATATCTCTACTGTGTACTTGGCATTTTGGGTGGTTAGAATGAGCTTTTCACAGTCACCATACTTACAAGGTTTGTTTAAGCTGTGTAATGCGATTTGGATTTGTCCTCTGAGGAGAACTTCCTAATTCACAGTCCACTTTCAAAAATCTTTCATATACAATGTTTACCACAGACATTCTAACATGAACTGTGCTTTTCCTCACATCCCAGTTTTCTCTCTGTAACATGTTTTATGGTTACTTATATGGTGCAGTGTTACTGTTTAGCAAGTCAAGTAGGGGCAACCCCACAAGTCCTCCTCGCCAGCTGGAAGCCAGGGAACCTGAAGTACATTTAGTGTCATGCTCAATAACTATAGTGCATATGACAGCCTGTTGGTAAAGTACAATACAAAGACAAAAAGGCAGGGGGTATACAAACTGAATATAGCCCTCACAATCTGTATAGAGTGAACTACAGGAACCATCTCCATAGTACTTGTTTTAGTTGATACAATAGAAATAATAAGTTCATGTATAACCTAAAGTAACTCATCACTGCAGAAAAAAAAAAAACCCACCATTAAAAGCATTATTTGAGATTGCCCTGATTTTGTCTGTGTGCAAGTTCATCAACCTATTCCTTTTCTGCACTCTAAGCTACACATAAAATGCAGGTAATGTATTCCAAAACCTGTATTTCAGAGTGAGTGTTGAATGGACTGACCTTTGACTCAAGGATGCATTTTCCATTTTCTAGGTCACAAGTCTACCCTCCATGGAGGTCTTCCTCCCACCTATGCCCTGCTTTATAAATGTGAATGATTGCTGTAATATTTGGGACCATACGTGTGAAGACATGCCACATCCAAAAACCTTTTTCTTGATTTGGGACCTTTTTGCTGTCATTTCTCACTAAAAGGAGAGGGTCACAATTCTTAGGATATTGCCTGAAGTTCTTCATAACAAATGAAAATTCAAGATGTAATCTAAATGGCATTATAAAAAAAAATAGTGCTCTAATAAAATTCTTGCAGTGTGGTCAGAAATGTTATGAAAACTCTTTGGAAAGTGTCTATCTCCAGATGTTTTTAGAAGTCAATTTTACTTAAGAATGACTTAGTAGATGGGTAGATTAAAACTAGACTATTTGACAACACGATTCCAAATCATGTTAAAATTTCAGACTATGATCTACTGAAGGTAAGGACACGCTGTATGAAAAGTTCAGTCGTTTGTGGAAAAACAGCTTTTCTGCAAGGATGGTCAGTTAGGGATAGTAATTCTGTTAATAATTATCTGACTGGAATCTGCATATTTCCATGTTGTTGATGTGATTAAAGGACATGATGAAGCAGATGACCTCTAAACCTGCTGCTTTGCCATTTACAAGCACATTTCAACAATGATTCACAATGCAGAGGTCTTTGTTCAATGTGGCAATATTGATCATTATATCTTGACCTTTACCCATTTTCTATATTTGCAATTAAATTAATTTACTTATGTGGTATTGCATTACTGCAGGGTACATCTTTGATGACTATGCAGATTAAAAGAAAAAAAGGAAGCCTATGAGCTCAGATGATAGTGGGGTTTTTATTCTAAGAGGAACAAAGTTGTGACAAGAGTATGGCCAGCAAATGGCTCATAGATTGCTAATAAAAGGGTATTGCATTGACCCTCAAGTAACAAAAATTGTGCACTGTATTGGACAGGGCTAATGTAGTGAATGGTATAACATCTTTCTTAGCACACCCAGTACATCCTCTTCTGATGACAGTGAGACTGAGTTGAAGAGCTCTGAAGTTTTGTATTAAATAGAGCTTACCTTACTTACCTTTCAACTTGTTTTTTTTTTTTTTTAAAAAGCGTAACGGACTTGCTTAGTGGTGGCCATGATCTGTTCTGGCTGCAGGAGGGGTGTATGCTCTCTCCTCTACATTCACAAGTTTTACTTGATCTGTGAACTGCAGTTGTTTTGTGCACACATAAAAGACAGAAAGCCTCCTTTATGAATTTAATTTAATGTAGATCTAACTCTTTCTATAAGTGTTCTTGTTTGCTAACCAGGAAAAAGGGCAGCTGCTACTGCTGAAATCATTAATGAAGTCCATTCCCAGCTGTCCTCTTTCCCTGGAGACAGATATGCCAAATAAATGGTATTGGCAGGGGCAGCAGCCTGCTTCTGGCTGCTATAGACAAGATTTTTCAAAGTCCAGTAAGCACTGCTTTGGGTATGCTGGTGAAAGGCAACATGCCCATCAGCCTTTCTCTCCTACCAGTTTTTGTTCAATTGCTTCTCTCTCTGTTTACAGCTCTTGCCAGCCCTTTGTCCTTTTCTCCCCTAGTACTTTGCCCATCATTTCTCTATGGAAGAGAACCAGTGAAGAAAACCTGTCACAATCCAAACACATATGGAAAAACACATTTAAAAGCATAAATGTGAAACAGAATCAAGGATACTGCTAAATACATGGCTGTCCTGTAATTTAGAGATGCCACCTGGCTAGCTTCTAACTAGCCTGGCTGGTCTTAAATGTGTCCCAGATCTGTCAGAGCTATTAGGCATGCACACATTGAATTTGTATCTGTTGTAGCCCTGTGCCAGGATGGCTGGTTGTGTTTTCTGGTTTTGGGGGGTTGTTTTTCTTCCTTTTTCTTTCCTCCCTGCTTCCTTAAAGAATGGCCAGCCTGCTACTACTGCACACCCCTTTATCTGATGTGCAACAATGCAATCCAGGGCACTCACTGTTATACTGGGATTTGGGAAAGCCCTGCTGTAGTGATGACAGATACCGGATCAGTGAAATACTGAGACTTGCGACTGCAGTGATAGAAGCCTAGACTCCATTGTAGTAACACAACTCATCTTACTCATAGCCTGGTTCAGAAAACACTTAACTGAGTGAAATCTCTGCTATGAGTGAGATCTATGCCATACTGAGTAGGGACACTGGAAACTATCTTTGTTCAGGATTGATGGAAATTTTGTGAAGGTTCCTAATTTCAGAAGTCATGTAAAATTTTCCCATCAAGCAGAAATGTCTGCTAATATCCATTACTCTCAAAAGGACACAACTAGTATGAATATAATTGAAACGAACGAATGGCACTTCCACTGGCGTGCAGCTGAGGCAGCTTCCTCCAACACCCTCATCCCACCGTGTCCTTCAGGGAACTGCAATCATACCCAGGCTACATGCGGCTGCTCACGAGATACGGTGTATGTATTTATAAAACATTAATATTAAATAATAAAATATTAACACTAGGAAGAGTAGGTAGCATAGGAAGGAAACTCAAACCTCTACTTGTAGTCTTAAGGCTGAACGTTGAACTGTGCCTATTGGGGTGTTTCTTCACGAAAAGGAAGGAACTCTATCTTTAATGTAAAGATTGTTCAGACCGCCTTCATTTCACGACGTGCCTCAACTGCATCCTCTAACACCTGAGCTGAGGTAGGCTGAGGGAACCCCACAACACTTCAACACCTCTCACCCCAGGCCCGGCCGGACGACAAGACTGACCCCCACCCCGCCCCACGACCCTCCCGCAGCATTTCTCGCGAGCGCTGAGCTCGGGCGGGGCGCGGGCGGTGACTGACGGCTGCGCAGCCTCGGCCCTGTCGCCATTGTGTTGCAGGGAGAGGCGGCTGGCTTGCCTTGCCTTGCCTTGGTGCGGCGGCCTGTGGGCCCCGTCCGATTTGGCCCTTCCGGTGCATCCTTAGCTTCTGGGTGTCTGCGTCGCGAAGGCTGTGCTGTGAGAGTGAGTAGCGGCCGCTTACGGTGTTTGCGAGGGAAGGATGGCTCCATACGGCCCAGCTTGTGCCTGTGTGCGGGGCCGGGGCCGGCGGCTCCGCGCCAGGGTTGGGGGGAACCATTTTGTCTCCGGGCAGGCGCCTGGCTCCGCCGCCTTTCTTTGAGCAAAGCACCTCTGATGGCTTTACTCCTCCGCTCCTTCTCTGGCCGCGGAGCTGTATGATGCCCTGTGTCCTTCAGTGCCTTTCTTCCCGTTGAGGAGCTTTTTCCCCTGTGGGGCTGGGGCAGAGCGGTCGGTGCTTCCGTTCGGCCTGACGTGGGCCTGCAGCGCGGGTGCGGCCGTGGGCTCCGGTAGGGGCCTAAGCGTTTGTGGCAGAGCCTCTGCCTTCCAGCCCGGCGCGGAGGTGTATGGTGCCCTCTTCAGTGGCTCTGTGGAGCGCCCGTTGTCTTGAACCTACTAGCTCCAATATGGGGGAATAGCCCAGCCTTCATGGCATCAGCTGCAGAACCGTAGGCAGACGATCGGCATTTGTAAATATTTTTATTGCTCTTGGCACTCCTGAGAGGCTGCTGAGTTTTTTTTTTTTGTCAGCCTTCCTTGATTAAAGGTTGAGAAAATACCTCAACAAAGGATTGCACAGGCTGAGAGACTTGTGCCTGCATTCCATCTTGCTTGTCATAAGATCATGGTTGTGAGTAAACACTGAGGAGGACACGTGATCTCAAGTTGCTCGGGGAGAAAGACTTGCCAACAGTTCTGTATCAAACTGTACGAAAATCTGTAAACGTAGAAGTGTAAGTCTTAGGTAAAGGTGCCACTGCATAGCTCTAAGATAGAAAACTTGAATTTAGAAGCTGGGAGCGAAGTGTGTGCTTCTTTCTGATTTAGGGTACAAGAATGCTGTCACCTACTACTCGAAGAGTGGAAGTTAAAGCTCTCTTTACTGGTAGACGTAACTACTTCAGATTGCCCCTCAATTTTCCGTAGAAGGGGTCAAGGCAAAAGAGAGGAGGGGTGAGAGGTTTTTATTTTATGTATTTGCTGTCTGTGTTATTTTTTCCTTCTGAGATTACTGTGCTTTCCCACAAAGACCTCTTGGACTTTTTTCTCTTGTTATCTCTATCTGTGGCTGTGTTAGGCCTAGTTGATCTTTTATGTCATATTTGGAGGGATGACAGATCAAGAAGGGTAGGACATTTGAGCTGTGTGCTCAAAATAGGCTGTTCAGCTCTGCCTCCTGTTACAACTTGGCAGTGTGTTTCCCAGGTACAACTTTAAATTTAAAAGGCTTGTTTTCAGAACTCTGTTTTTTACCACTCTGGAGAGGCATCCTATATATCCCATATTCCAGGAGACACAAGAATTGTTTCCATTTTTTTTTCCATGAATTTTTGGTTGGTAAGTTGTGTAACATGGCATGAATGTGAAATAAATCACTTTGAGTGTTTCTCACCCTGCTGTTCCCCTTCTCATTTGTTGGATGCTAGAGTGAGTAGCGTCAAAATGATGAAGCCAGAAGTGTGTTTTGTCAGGATTGTGTGTTAAGGTTGCTCAGTGAAGGACACAGTAGGTGTGATATTTGAGTAAGCTGTTCCTTTTTGTGGCAATAACAGGCTTTTAAATCAGTTAAGATTGAAATGTGATTTAGTTGTGTGGGTTTGTTTTGTTTTGTTTTTTTTTGTAGCTGTTATTTTTGTTGCTCAGAAGTTATGTAAGGGTTGTGGGCTTTTCTTGTTGTTGGTTTTTGTTTTGTTTTTTTTTTCTCACTAACTTTTGTGTAAATTGAGGTGGCTGCTTTGTTGTTATAGAATATATTACAGCATGTTAATTACCGCTTGGGATTTTTTGAATTCCCGTGTGAGTAAACAAAATGTTCAAGGTTTTAATTTGTGTGTCTTTGTGATCATTCAAAAAAACCTCCTTAAGATGCTGATGCTGTAAAAGGGAACCGTTCTCATTCTGAAATACCCTATAAAAACAGTGTTCCCCTTGCAGACAAGTATTACTGTAGGTTTAATAATAGGATTTTATTTTCTTTTCTGAGACCACTCTTTTGTTTGGTGTTCTGTAATAGCTTAAGATTCTATGATTCTGTGTTCACCTTGACCCACCTCAGTGTGTTACCATGATCAGTGTAAGCCATATGTTTTTTTTTTTTTAAATGAACTTGAATGGCATGCTTCATGCCCCTGAATCTTTGTTGAAATGCAAAGATAAAATCCAGTTTCCCTGAGCAGAAATTCTTTGATTAGACCATAAGGTTTCATCCCCCCCCCGCCCCCTTCAGTTCGTTTCCACCTCTGCATCAAACAAGGCAGGTCTACTCTTGTGAAATGTCTGTTCTTACCCAACTCTGATTCATCCTTTTAGCAGCTCTGTGTTATTTGCTGGCTGAGGCCAGGACTGCAGGAAAAGTGTATGGTTGTGTTAAAGAAATTAATCATAATATGCATGCATAAACTAACATATTAAATTTTGCATTTTCTAACATGCTGCCTTTAACTAAACATCTTTGTGTGTAGTTTCTGTAAGCTTTCTTTCCTTGGATAAAGAAAACAACGTATAGATGGTATCATCCTAACATACTCGGGTTAAAATAGGAACCTGTGCTAATGTAAAAGATTAAGCTGATTGATAGTATTGTCCTCTTGTGGTTACCTCTGGAGGAGAAAATTACTCTTGTGTCTTTTTATGTGTGTTTGTAGAAAATTCACTAACTTTGGACTCTATTTCAGCTTAGAGATAGTTTTCTGGTGTCCACAGTCTTCCACCTTATCCTTTCCTATCTGAATGCTCTTATTTTGTCTCATCTGTGGATGGTTCATAAGCAATTTTGTTAGTACGAGATGATCTCTAAGTTAGTCTTGAAGTTCTTACAACTTTCTACATGTGTCTCTTCCCCTTGTTCATCTGGCCATGAATTTCTACTGGTAGGAGCTTCCATCCCTTCTAGAACCTTCGTGTATGCTACATGTCTGTGTCTCACGCTTTTTATCAGCGTTATTTAATTTATCTGGTTCCATACCTGTCTGAAGGAAAATTATGCAGAACGATATGTAACAAAAGTGGTCATGCTGCTGCTTTTTGTCAGGTACTTAAAAAATATGATCTGTTATTCTGTGTGTCCATCCCTTATTTTTTTGTGTCAGGGTAAAATATAGATAAACAGTGCTTTGGGTGTCAGATCTCATCAAGACTGCTGTCCTGTCCAGCATACGCTTTGGTCTGTATTAGTGTGACGTTAATTTAGCTTCACAGTTTGCAACTTCAGTAGTTACTTTTTTCACACTTAGAGCATCAGATGAATACTAGACTTCGCAGTGCATATTATGGCAGGTTATTCCAAAGCTTCATTATAGTGTCTTATCTAATGTTACAAATGTGAAGAAGTATGTTTGTCACATTTTATTGCACGCATTTTATTGCACACATGATCCACTTGAAGTGACGTGGCTTAGATTATTAGACTTGTCCTTACCAAATTTCTTTTAAACTTTCATGATGGAGCAGTGTTCTTCTGTACTTTGGAACACTGCTTAGAGCATTCTTATAAATACAGCTGTATTTACAACTTTGATAATTGCATACAGTTGCTCAATATTCGTTTAGAGGTTTAAATTTAATGAATTCATTATTTCAGGTTCCTAATCCAAAGTTAGGCAAGTGAGAATTTCAGATTCCTGAATTGGTTTTGTTTAACTGATCGTAATAGAAACCAGCTTTTGTTGGTAGGACTATATTGAGTAAACTTGGGAATAGTGATCAAGAGCTCAACCATGTCTCTGGCAGAAGTGAATGGGTTGCTAATGTCTGAAGCATGGTCTAAAAGCTGGTGTGCTTCTCCATAATACAACCTAGTAGGTCTTTTGTACAAGAATATAAATGTTCACTTAAAGTTGGTATGCTTCATGTTCTCTTTGGGGATGAAGGTGGTGTTTATTTGGCAAAAAAACAAGCAAAGAAACCCCAAACCCACAAAATTTCTACTTGCAAGAAAAATTGAGTATTAAGGCTACTTTGTTGGTAGCTCTATGACACAGCTCACAATGGAGCATGCACCAGAACAGTTGTTAAAAAAGCCTTCCATTAAGGAAATTAACCTCAGCTGCCCAATCAATGGGGTTCTGTACAAACTATCTTTTACAGGTAGATTACGTAATGTAGTATGACTTTCAGCCAAGATTAAAAGCCCCAAGTATGTGAACTCAACTTGAAGCTGCAGTCAAACATGAGGTATGTCAGGGTTGATGCAGCAGCTTTTCACAGATTGTATTGCTGATGCGTTGGAAAAAATGTGCTTTACTGAGTGATTTCTCCCTTCCGCCCCCCCCCCCCCCCCCCCCGATATAGCTTATTCCCATTCCTGGAAAGTTGAAGCCAGAATTAAAAGCAGTTAAATAAAACAGATTGTACCACCTCTGCAAATCACCTTGTACCAGTGGAGTTCTCTGCCATCTGTTTCAGAGTTGCTAGTTATTGTGCTACTCTTTCCACACCATACTACTGAGGATACTGCAGTTCTACTAAGCTTTTTATTTGAAAGCTACCTTTTGCGGTCTGATTCTGGCAATACCATGCTGAGGAGGAAAAATCTGGGGATGTTAGCAAGCCAGTTAGCGAACTATCTGGAGTTTCTGAGCAACAATAAGTCAGAATATTCTTTCTAGGACAGGAATTTCTACAGGATCGCTTCTCACAGAGAAAAGGCACCAGCATTTATCTTGAAATGCCTAGAGATAACAAAAGAGCAAATAAACAGTGTCTCAAAGGTAGATTTACATATGCGTATGGGACACCAGGTGGTCTTTTGTATATGTTAATTTAATGGGAGTTGTCTCAGAAAAGTTAGATACTTCATTGAGTCAGGTAGACTGAAAATGTTGTTTTACTGATATTTGTGTGTGTGTGTGTTTGTGTGACTCTTTTCACTGACTCCTGGCCCATTTTGTGTTAATACTAGTGTGGCAGAGTTCTTAAGGGCATTCCACTTCTCAGAGAATAGCAAGAATATGCTGTAACATAGCCCCTTTTGCTGTTTTTTATAAGTTTTCTAACATGGAATGGGACAACATGTAAAGAAAAGGTTACAAAAGCTAGAGTAAGAACTCATTTCACCATTTTGGTGATGCATAATCATACCAAAGGGCTGTGTAAATATTTGTATGTGTGCATCGTATTTATGATGCACTCAGAATGACTTGTGCATGTTTTGCATGTGGGTCCCTGTTTTAAAAATAAAATTAATTGGTGTGTTCTTTGACAGGATACAAAGAATGGAGTCAAAACCCTCAAGAATTCCTCGAAGGATCTCTCTTCAGGCCTCTGGCTCTTCACTAGGGTCTAGAACATTGACTGGAAACAGTTTAGCTGGTGCATACAGTGCAAGAGAACCTTCATGGAGATTAGAATCTGGATACCAGGTAATGTGTTATGTCTCTTCCTGTAAAGTATAAGTTAATTTAATGTCTGTTTTTCATCAAGAAAAACCCTAAACCCCAGACAAAACAAAAAAAGTGAAAAAAACCCACCCCCAAAAAACAAAGTACCCCCCCCCCCCAGGAAAAAGTCCCATGCAGGGCCTTGCATTTAGTTTAATTCTAAGATGTAAGGATCTAATAACCAGACCGGTAACAGTATTCTGCTGTGTGAATTCATAGTTCTAGGCTTGCCATTTGTGACTTTTGTAGCTGCACCTTTAAAAATGAGCTGTTTCATGAATGAAGGGCATTCTGATACCATGGATCTATTTTGCACTAGCCACTGCAGTCTTAAACCTGGATGAAGGGGGTTTTCTGTTGTGGGGAGGTAAGGATTTTGTTTGAACTTTGATCTCTATAGGGTGTTACACTTTTGTGGATGATGCAAAAGTTCCAGTAATATATTGTGGTTCTAAGAATTGGCAGTAGGCAAGAAGATGACCTTTAGGCTTTTATATCATGCTGTCATGTCAATCTGCTAATATATCCAGGCTTTCTGTGCAATAAACAGGACTGGGGTAATAGCATTTACTGTTCACATGCAACGTTTTTCACTAACTAAATTGTTTTTGTGGGGGAGAACAGCCATGCTTAAGAGTAAGAGCTAACACTTTACAGATACATTCACATTGGAAGAGTATTATGGGAAGCAGAGATTAAACTACTTGAAAAATTATTCTGGGTGCTGGGAAACAACAGATGGCTGTTTGGCTCAAATCTCTTATTCTGCTCTTGTCACCTCAACTTTGAGTCCAGAAATATAAGCCCATCTTGGTCTTAGAAATAGTAGAAACTTAACTATATGATTAAATGTTCATATTTTTTAATAAAATAGTTCCGAGTTTGGTCCCCGCTGACAAGCTATCTGGAACATTGTATTATGTAATGCCTTTTCCAGAAATAGTTTTACAAGTAATAGAGCACTAATTATTTTTAGCACAGTTTATTTTGCCATACCAGGCATATATGTGGTCATTAGTAGAATGGGCAACAGAGAGTACGTTAGGGAAATCTTCAGTCATTTTTGCATTTTGGATTCCTGCATGTTTTTCACTGACTGTCTGCTCGGCAAAATTGACTCACAGAGTCCTACTCTTTTATAGTCTTTTATGGGTCCACACAGTGTACATATCATACTGAAAGCCGTTCATCAGAAGGTGAGCTGAATTGATGGTGTGAAGTTACATGTGTTACTGCTGTTACAAAATTATAACACAGGAGACTTATGTACTTTACCTCTCTTATTACATGAACTGCAGTATGTTCACTGCACTGTTTATTTATTTCCTAATGAACAAAGTATTTCTAATCTGAGAAATGATCTTTGTAACACTTTGGAGTTGAAACAGAGGAGAAAATGATTGTTCAGATTATGTTGTGTCCCTTCTATTCTAATTCATAAAGTAGTCTGTGAGCTTGTTACACAAGACTAGTGCTTAGTGATAAATGCATAGGGAGGCTCCCTTCCTTGACTAACCTTTGGTACTTACAGAGCTGTTTAAGACTGCAGGTGGCGAGGGCAAGAAGATACAAATAGTCTAAATAAAGTTAAGTCCAGTCAGATACGAGTGGAATGGTTGGTCCTTGTTGCTTGATTAATCCTTTAAGAAGCTACCTTAAAATGTTAAGAGCTGCTTCAGTTCCAAGCAATTTAAAATTTGTCATTTTGAAGAAAAAAAACTGTATGGCTTTCAGTAGTGCTTTGGTTATATAGAGGAAAGACAATGTAGGGACTTGGCTTTTTAATGCAAAGTCATTTCTGCATCTGGAGACCATACCTGATAATTGCTTAACTGAGAACAATTATTGAGACTGCTGTCAGACTTTTGAATATGTGTGTGTATGTCACACATTTTTGAGATCAGTCTAGGTGGTAGCCTCTCCTCATCTGAGGAGGCATAATAAGCAAGCTAATTGTAAATGAATCTGATGAATGCTGAATGACAGCATTTTTTCTGGGTGAGTTACAATACAAAAATAGTGTAATGGTATGTAGAAAAAAAATCTAAAATCCTGTGCTTGATGATTCAATATTGTTAACCATTTCATGAGACATCAAGGTGGTTTGTTGGCTGTTATTTTGTTTTCTTTTTCCCGTGTTTTTTTTTTGTTTGTTTGTTTTTTGTTTTTTTTTTAGATGGTGTGATAGGGTCGAATGTAATTTGTAAAAATGTTCTCCTGAACACATTTTTCTGCTACTGAAAGTAGACACCAAAAATAGACTATCTGGTGTATTGCTTTAATAGTGAGGGTCTGACAAGGGATGTTAAATAGTGTTAAGATGAACTGAAAGAAAGCAAATGGAGAGGTTTTTTTCTTTTTAAATTTCTTATGTATATATATACACACATATATATATTTTAATTTTTTTTTTTTTTTAGTTTCAGATATAGTAGTTAGTTTGAGCTTTCCTGACACCATGCCAGATCATTTACTTTGTCTTAAAGCCACTTTTTTGATTCCCAGTATGTTGCTTGTTTTCTGTTTTGGCTTTGGGACATCTGTCAAAGAAACGATGAACACAGTGCAGAGGTGTCACAGCTACCAGACTCTGCTGGCATTAGAACAGTAGATGGTGTAGTTCTGCTAACTGGCTTTCATTGCTGTGCTAGTGTAGGTGTATTGTTCTTGGAGTCAAAGTCTTTACTGTGGTGATCCAGATGTGTAGAATTAAATGAAATTCTCAAATCTTCAGTATCTGACAGGTAGAGAAAAAGGAAAGTATTTCAAGAGCATGTAAGTGCAGGTATGGCTTGTATTAAGAGTGTTTTATGAGAGCTTTATTTTTATCTTAAAGTTGTGTAGTCTTGTACCCATGGCAGTTTATCCGTATATGAAATAATTAAGAAACCTGATGAATCCCACTGAGACTCTGAAATAGGACAGAACTTGCTGGCTGATACTTTATTTTCAGATTTAATTTTGCTTGTGAGAATGATGAGAATTACTATTTCTCCAACTTTTTAAATGGTGATAGAAACTGCTGTAGTTGTAGTATTAATAGTTCCTAGAAAGAGGATGGACAAGTAATCACTTACTGTTGACGTGGGAGTCACGGACAACGCAGAGACGATCAATGTGATCAAGCGATTGCCAAATTTATTACAAAGCCTTAACTCCTTATATACTATTTCTTACATGCACTTACAGTGATTTGGCATATTATGATTGGATACATGTCTTGAAGACCCTTAGTGACTAACATATAATTGGTTAAGCACAGGTGTGAGAACTTGACCTCGAAAGCTTGCCAACAGTCCACAGTTCTCATTAACTCAGTGAATTCCAGCTTCTTTTTATCTTGCTTGCTTAAGCTTCTTCGGGCCTCTCATGGCCTTGCTGTATCTTTCAGGATTATTCAGCGTTTATGTACCAATTATGCATTCTCCCGTGAGAACACTGTCTCCACAACTTACAAACTCTGCTTAGCTGTAAAAAAAAAAAAAAAAAAGTTTGATTTCTGTTAATTCCGTTAATTTTACCAATTTTGGGGATTATTCTGTGGAGCAAATAAAATTGCAATCTCTTTCCTTAATTATCATCTGTTCATTTGTTCATTGACTTTCAGTGAAACTAGTAGTGTAGAACCTCATTCCTTGAGGTTCTCTTAAGGACAGACAGATTTCTGTGTTAAACAGTTCCTGGTTTCATTAGTAGCTGCTTTTGCTTTCACAGAGAATTGTTTTCTACATGTGTAGGTTTTTTTTACTCAACACTCGGAAGTGAGGTCCTTAATTCTCTCCTGTTGCTAGAGTATCTTAAGTTGGGGTAATGCCTCAAAAGCCTTACACTTCAACTTTTTACTGTCCGCAGTCAAATGAGAGGATGGATAAAGGAGCTGATAATTGCTAGGAAGTAATTTAAAAAAACTCTTCTTTTGCCAGTGGTTGTCTCTTAAGACTTTCATTTCCTCTTGGGTATCCCTTGGGGTTTCTCATGAAGGGTTTCCAGATTTGTGATTACTTCCACTTCCCTGTGTTTTCAATATTCAAATTGGATATTAAGTTAGCTTTGAGTTATAAGTTGTGTATGATAGTTATGTTGTTCTTCAGGAATCCAGTGTATTGAATAGTTCCAGTAGAGATTGGGGTATTGGAGAAAGAGACACCCGTGAAACTCCTTGGAAGCTTACAACATCCTCTCCAACTCACTACTCAGGGACACTTGATCATCCACATTCTGGAAGATTTTTGGGAAGCAGGAGCAGATTGGTGAGAGTTGTTAATGTATTATGCTTTTTTTTTTTTCTAATTCTTTTACAAGGGTTTTACCTTGATGCTTTCTATCTGCAAACCTGCTAGCAGGGGCTCACTGTAATCTTTCTGGATAAAAGGGTATTACTAACTCATGTTATAGTCTGATGAATGGCAAAATTAATACCATTTATGCTCAGCTTGTTCTGTCGGGTATTTCTAGGAGGTGTGGGTTTGTTTTTTTTTTTCATGTTACCAGCTTTGTGAGTAAACATAAGTCCATGGTTTTAGAGATGTGCTTTAGAAAACTTAGTTGTGGAGTTCGTAGTCTGACTGTGCTTATTTAGATGCTGCTTTTACAGCATATTGTGGAAGAAAATGGAGGCTTAACTGTCACCTGTGATCCAAGACTCGGGCCTTAACAGCTTGCCTTAGCTAGGCTCTGGAAAGTACCTTTATAACTCCAAAAATAAATTAGTTTCCTTCTTTGACATGCTTAAGCACTGTAGACCTTAAATCTACTTCCAATTGTAGGAGGAATACTAAAATGATAAAAGCAGACAACTGTGAAGATACTTGGTGGGAAGACTGGACAAGTGAAAATTCTGCTTACTTTCAAACTGCGAAAGATACTTGGGTACTTGCAAGTGCTACCACCTTAAATACCTGTTTGTTTTCTTACTGTCACTTAAAGGTGATAGTTTGAAATAAGCAGGGGAGGGAGGAACTAGCGTGGAGATGATGGCCTTCAAGGGAGGAAGTCACAGTAGGTGTCTCTATTGATGAAATGCAGATGGAGTCTGTGGTTGCAAGTGGACTATGTATCTAGTTAAGTTAATGCTGTAGAATTTTCAAAATTATACTTTTTTTCCCATTAAGGTTATTTTTTTTTCTCTTCAATTCTAATGCAGATCATCATTGCTGAAGACACTCTGAAATCTCTGCTTATCAAACAGCAAATTATTAAAAGAGAAGTTGTGTGTTCAAGAGAGAAATGAACCTGGCTTTTTACTTGCTGTAGTTTCTCTGTCTTCCAATCTGTCTTTTATGATGAGATAAGAGAAATACTTTTTAGTTTTTAAAGACTAAAATGTTTTGGCATAAGCTCTAGTAAAAAATATAACAAAAGTAAGACACAACTATAACATTTAATCTGGCTGATCCTTAAAAGATCTTGGCTGTAGATACTATTTGGGAAGACAAACAGTTCAACTGAGCTTTTTGAGCTCAAATTTTATATATATAAAAAAAAAATTCAAATAGAAAATAAATGTTCTCACTACAAGTAACCAGACAAACAGCCCATTTTTTTTTAAATTTCTTTTTTATTTAGTAATAGTTACCGAAAAACTCTCTTTCAATGCTGTCAACTGCAAAAATTGCTTTGTACCCATTCTTTACCCTGAACCGTTTCAGTTACACTTGAGCTTGATATAATAGAAATATTTTTTAAACAGCTTACAAGAAGTTAGACCTGACTCCTTAGCTAAGTGTATTTTGGATTGGCAAAAAAATAAGCTTGATTAGTTAATCTGTTAAAAAAATGAAGGTGATCAGTTTTTGCTGTTTCTGGACAGCAAAATTATGGTTACTCAGAGATCTGCAAAGCTATATTTGATCATGTTTATGGCATCTTACAAGTCAGTAGTATCTTTTTCCCCTGCGACATCTATCTATAAAGGAAAAATAATGCTGATTATAATAGAAGAGTTTTTGTTTTTTTTTTTTTGTAAGACTGTATTGCATAAACGTGGGGATAGTGATTTATGCTCAGGCATAAATCCTATGTAGTTATAGATAAAAAGGCTTTTCATCTTAAAATTGTTCTTTTTTGTGAATCTTGCATTATGTATGCTTTTGTTCAGTGGAAGTACATCTGAAATAATGTGTCAATTTTTTTATTTCAGTCTACATCATCTTCCTCTCATTTCACATCTGGGTGTTATGGTGACTCTGAGAGAACTCAGGGAGCATATTCAAGACTCCATGGCCAGCAGCGAGATAGTGATTCAAAGAGACCTAAGCTATCTTGTACATCTACCTCTTCTGTGAGAAATAATGGCTTGACTGCCTTTTCAGGTGAGAGGTTGCTTACTAGAGCTGAGTTACATAAAAATTGTCTTTAGTAAGATCAGGTTTTCTCAAGTTTTAAAAACTTGCTTTGAAATATGTTTTCAGTTTTCCTAAATATTAAAAGACTGTGCCTAACAGAAGAGTATACTCACACTGATGGCAGTATCTGAAGTTCTGAGAATGCTGCTAATGTGGTCTTTTGAAAACCCAGTTGTACTCATGTTCCTTCAAAACTGTTAACTGTACCTATTCCATTTGCACTAAAGCTGAACTTCATGGTTTAAATGTATCTTAATGGGTTAAGATTTCGAGGAAAGAATGAGTGTAGCTACTGTTATTTCATGAGTAATATGAATAATGAGTAATAACTACGTGTGCCAGGGACAGCAGAAAGGGAATTTTAACTTTACTTAACTCTCTGTTTCAAGAAGCACAGTGTCATGGCTGGTTAGAGCTCTGTTGTTAGGGGTCAGGGAAGAAAGAACTCTCTTTTTTTTTTTTTTTTTTTTTTTTCCAAGTGGGCCTAAACTCATTTTGTAGGCTAGGTGAAAATAAACATTCTACACCAGGAGCTCCTTCAGGAAAACGTGAGGTATTCATTAAAGCTCTAAATAAGTATGCTGTACTTGGATAGATATGGGTTTAAACAATATGCAAACAAAAGCCTAAAGGTCAGGAAATAACAGTGAAAAACTTAATTGGAAATTCTAAGCAGACTGTTCAATTCGTTCAGATTACCCTTGCAAAGATGCAAGGATGTTCCTTTTTTAGCTTCACCTATGAAACCACGCAGCCATCCCCCCAAAAAAGTAAAAAATTCTTGCTCAAAATCCAGTATTGCTGATGATGGTCATTCGCCAGAAGTAAGAAACCATTAACGTTTCTTATAATGGTATAGGACCATAGTGTCTTTCCATTTTTAGATTGGTTGTTCGTTTTACTGCTGACCAATGAATGTTTAAATTTGGATTTATAAGTTAGTACAACAAAATCAAGGTGGATTTTTCAGAGCCATTGAAGAGCACAGGTTTTATTCACAGACGAAGTAAGTACAGGTCACTATTCAGTTGTTGGAGCTGTTGGCAAAAAAATAAGTGCCCCTTTGAAGTGTTTACTCTGCAATATGAGCAAAACCAGTATTAGTCATAGTTGTGTGTAAGCTGCATTTAAGCTGTCTTTCTGGAAAAAGAATTTTAAAAGCATCATTAGAACGGCAGCACTTACTAAGTTTCATGCTGCTGTTTTGCCATATTGCAAAGCCTATTTAATAATTAGCTGCCATTAGAAGCAAGATGCTATTTCTCTTCCTCCTCCTCTCCTGTATGAGTGTTAAATGGTCTGACTTCACAAAAGTGTTATTACTTTTTTCCTGTTTAGCTTTCAGAACTAACAGCAAGATTAAGTAAGTGCTGTTTACTCTTGTCCACTAGATCAGCTTAGTGGCATTGTAAATTTGCACCTGATATAGTATAACCAGTATGTGCGTCTAAGTTGCAGGTTTAATTGGTGTCTAAATGATTACAGAAACATAAGATTTGCTTACTTTATAGATTCTTCTTGGAGGTGCAGTAGGATTCCTAGATCTTCATCAGTGATGCTTGGTTCCCTTGGAACTGAGCTGGTGAGAGAACGAAGAGAGTTGGAAAGAAGAACAGATCTGTCTGTTAATAATCTGGTGGATCACAGCTACAGAAACAGTGACTTTTCATCTGCAACATGTATGTATTGTACAACTGTAAGCCTGTAAACCCATAGGTTGCATGCTCGTTAGCTTTTTTGTGCATTCTTTGAATTTTTTATTCAAAACACAAAGCCAAAATATCTATTTAATTTTAGGGTACTCTTTTAAATGAAGTTGGCTGGCTACTTTCAGTGGGTTGGCTGAACCATCAAAAGATACATGAATGTTGTAGCTTACAGATGCATTCAGTTATATGAAAATGCTGTTGGTGCTTGCCGCTGTAACAGTGTGAGTAGTCAGTAAGCTTCATGTTCATCTTAAGATTTCTTTGTATTTACATATGGGGAAAAAAATGTTAATTTGACTCAGAAAGGGGTTTTAATAAAGGTGCCCATATTGCATGATCTCTTTCCATTTGGGTTCTCTTTGAGTAGTTATTAGGGAAACTGCTAGAACACTGAAAATAATGAATAAGCACATACTTCACATTAGGTTAGAGGCTTGTTCCACAGTAACTGCTAGAACTAGTATTGACTTCTGTACTGTCATTTTCACTTTCTATTCAGTACTGTGGCCTTTCAGAGCTGTCTTTGAGAAAGCTTGTTGTCTGTCTTGATCTGCTTCTTTTTGCAGATGCATTAGTGGTACTTAATAATGTGTAATAAAAAAAAGAAACAAAACGACCCTAAACCAAACAATAAGCCACCAACAAGTAAAAGAAAAAAAACCCAGTGCAACTCGCCCCAAAAAACCAAACCAGCAAAACCTACCTAACAAGAAAAAACACTCCCCCCACACCCCCCAAAATACCCAAAACATTTGTACAATTATAGGAGATAAATAGAAAAGATAAAAACTAGTTCCACATTTCATCCTGCAGTCTTTCCTTACCACAAGGGTATGATTTAATGTTGTCATACTCTACGCCACTTTAATAAGTGGACAGTTGGGAGTTTACGTGGTAGAGCCTGATGGAAGAGATGGATGGGTGGAGACCCTTGCTTTGTGCTGTCCATGCTGCTTTTCTAGCAGTAGTGACACTGTTAAGTGCTATAAAAATAACTCCCAACTGTGTTCCCAGCTGTGTAATCAAAACCATATGGCAGATGCCTGGCATCTGTGCAGATGTTTCTTTAGTTAGAATCTGCCACATAGTTGCAACAATAGTGATTGCAATGCACAGCCCATTTAAAAAAAAAAAGGGAAAACCAAAAAAACCAAAGCCGAAAAAGGCCCAACCAAAAAACCCAAACGCAAACAACCCCTCCCTCCTGACCCAAAAAAGCAACGACATCAAAGCTATAAACATGAAAGGTTTAAATTCGAGAGTACATAGAGAAATCTTCTGCCTCCTGTCTTTATCTTTGCTTGTTACATAGTTAAAATATTGGAAGTATTTTCCATTTCAGTGAGGTCAGTGGGCTTCAGCTGCTTTCTTCCCTCCCTGCCTTCCCCCTCCTCCTCCAATCTAGCCGTTTGAAGAAGGAGACTAGCTGATGTTAGCCTGCTCAGCTGCTTCATGTAATGTTGACTACAGTTCAGCTACAGTAGAGTTCTCAGTGTGTTGAGGTACTTAACAGAATTTATGGAAAATATGCTTATAACAATCATGGAATGGTTTAGGTTGGAAGGGACGTTCAAAGGTCATCTAGTTCCAAATGCCCTGCAATAAACAAGGGCTTCAACTACATCAAGTTATTTAGGGCCCTGTCCAACCTGACGTTGAATGTTTCCAGGAATGGGACATCTACCACCTCTCCAGGAAACCTATTCCAGTTAAACAAGCTTCATTGTAAAATATTTCTTCCTTTCATCTAGTCTGAATCTACCCTCTTTAAGATTACAACCATTACACTTTGTCCTCTTGCTACAGGCCCTGTTGAAAGAAATCTATTCTCAATCTTTCTTACAAGTCCACGCTTAATAAGCAGGGGAGGACACAAAAGTGTGGTGACAGTTGTCTATTTGAGTATAGGTAATCAAAGTTAACTGGGAGAGCAGATGAGATTACTAATCCAGAATGGGTAACTCTGATTTTGCTTAAACCAGTTGCATAGCTGAACAAGGGAGCTAACTTAGTTGTTGCATTTCTTTGCTAAAAGTTAGATAACCCTTTTAGACTGGAGCAATGGAATTACAGTATTTCTAGGGTATTCTTTTTATTTTTGCATTCTTGGTTTAAAACATTATTGTAGCAAGATACACATCTAATTTAGATACTATTCAGTTTCTTGTTATCCAAAGCCAATAATTTTCTGCTACCTTTAAGAAGTGTTTAACTGCAGCTGTTGATGATTTTATGGTGAGAAGAGTAAGAGTAGCTTGTTGTAATAGATGAGGAATATACTTGGCTTTATCCATGCCTTTGTTTCGGGTGCTCTCGTGTCTGCCTCATTGCTGAGATTTTGATTTATCTTTCTCAGTCTAAAGGCAGAATGGACCTTTAAGTTTTAAATAGTATTGTGTACTGTTCTTAATTTGTATGCTATTCTGATATAACTTCTGACAGATGGTCAGAATTTCATATTTGCATTATAAGAAAGTGAGATAATCTGAAGATTTGGGGGGATATTAAATTCCAAATGGATTTCCCAGACTAAAATAAGTCTAGATTTCAGTTTAACTTCAGAATTCTGGTAAGTAAATGTAAACTTAGTATTATTCTGGAATCTTACTTGCCAAATTTGAAACAATTTTGATTAAGGAGCACAAAATCTTGCCTTTTGTGTTTATGCTTTAGAGTTACCCGTCTGGAATGTAATAATTGGAACTCTGCAGAGTTATCCATCTAGAATGTAGCAATTAGAGCACATCTTGTTATACTGTTTTCCTCTGCTTTTCTGTAACAGATCTTCAAGACAGGCCTGCCTCTTCGTATGCAGAGGGAGCAAGACCAAAAGAGAACTCAATAAGCACTTTGAGGCTGAATGCATCCATGAACCGCCAGTTGCCTTCTGATCATCAGCCATCTCTTTTCAACAGAGACTCTAACATGAGCTCTTCAAGATTCAGCTATTCCTCAAGGCAAAGGAGAAATGAATTGGAATCTCCCCAGAGGAGCATGCAGCCAGCATTTTCTCTTACTGCCATTAGAGATGAAACTCCTTCTTCAAGTGGTTCTGAAAGGGTTTTATCTTCTCAGAGGTCATTGAATGAGCCTGCAGCTGATGGTGAAGGGAGGCGCACAACCAGACAGCTTCTGTCTCGTTTAGCATCTAGTATGTCATCTACATTCTTCTCTCGAAGGTCTAGCCAAGACTCATTGCATACCAGATCATTAGGCTCTGAAGAGTCAACAGTAGTCCCGAGAGTTCAAGCTTCTGCTCTGTCGAGCAGTAATGGAGCTGCAACTCCAGAAGTTCCAGGACTTCAGACATCTGAAGCTTCTCAGGGATTTAGTTTTCTTAGACGAAGATGGGGTTTATCAGGAGTTTCACAAAATCATAGCTCTGATTCAGATGGGGAGAGTTACAGACCAGACTCTGAAAGCAGGAGTACAGGATCCTGGTTATCATCATCTTTGAGGAATAGATGTACACCGCTCTTTTCCAGAAGAAGAAGAGAAGGGAGAGATGAATCGGCAAGGATCTCGACCTCTGATACAACTGCTAGATCACAACATATCTTCAGAAGAAGAGAGTCAGGTGAGGAGACCTCTCTTCAAGCATCAGATATCCCTCCTTGGGCTTCTGTTAACAGACCACCAACACCTGCAGTATCTGGTATTCCTACAGCTACTGCCTCCCCACCAGATTCAACCCACAGTAGGAGAAGTTCTGGAATTCTGCCTGGTTCTCTCTTTCGCTTTGCAGTGCCTCCAACATTAGGAAACAGTCTGTCTGACAATCTTATGATAACTGTAGATATTATTCCCTCTGGCTGGAATCAGTCTGAAGGACAAGAAAGTAGCAAATCTAAAATACCACCATCAAGAGACCCAGAAAGACTCCAGAAAATTAAAGAGAGGTAAATTAGTATGTTCTTTTGAGATAATGAAATGTACCTGACTTAACATGAGTTTTCTGTAATCTTGTTAAGAGGAAACTTTAAGTGGCAGCTCAGTCCTGTGTCAGCTGTGTTCTCACTTGTCTTCAGAGAAATCTGTTTTAGTCCTTGTTGGTTTGAGAAAAGTTTGAATGGAACTGTGATTATAAAAAATCTTACATACAGTGTGTCACGTTGTTTGTTGATACTCCTATTCAGCCTGCTTTTAGAAGATTCTGAAGATGAGGAGGGTGACTTATGCAGAATCTGTCAGATGTCCTCATCAAGTTCTGACAACCTTTTAATAGAGCCATGCAAGTGCACTGGAAGTCTGCAGTATGTTCACCAGGAGTGCATGAAAAAATGGCTGCAGTCCAAGATTAATTCAGGTAAAGCAGACTCAAGACCAGGATAGACTTCCAGTTACACTGGGGGGCTTATCAGGAGAATTACTCTTCTAGTATCAAGGTATTTATTTGAAAAACAAACAGCTGGGGACACACAAAAGAGTGGCACATACACGCTTATTGTATGTCTGTGCAGCTTCTCATGTGAGTAGATCAAATAACTGTCATGTAGACATTTGCATTTTTGGGATTGTCTACTAAGAAATTAGACAGAATATAACATTGCAGAAGCGTAGCTCTAGAGCTACTCTACAACTTTGTGTGAGTTTGTTCCCTACTCTCTCGTGGATGTGGTTCTAGTTGTTTAGACTTGTAGCCAGGTGACTAGCAGAGTGGTGGGGATTCGACAGTCCAAAAATGTTACTGCCTCCTGTTCAGGGCAGTTTAAAACTGTTTAAAAAAACAAACAAAACCAACTTCAAAGTGCAGTAGAATTTTAAGAAACTTCACAAATGGCACACAGTACAAATGTTTTTAATGTAAAGCTTGTAATGTAAGTTATCTGTAATAATAAGATTTAAAAAAAGTTAGCTTGGTCGAAGGCATGAAGGTCATGGAATACTTTTTCCACAGGAAGGTGCTAGCATCTTTCTACTTTTTTACTCGTTATTAGAGGACCCACATCAGAGTAGGGATATATTGGAAGTCTCAGCCTGTAGAAGAAATTAGTTTGAGGTATTTATAAGACATGAAATCCACCATAAACTTCCTTTGTTCATCTTGTTGCCTATGGATCAGCTTGCTTTAAACCTGGTTCTTTGAAGACAAAATACTACTCTGGCCATAACTTTAAGGTATTCCAGTATATTTATTATTACTTTTGTGTATTTTTGGATTACTCTGTAGAATTCAAACAGCTCAAGCAACAATTTTATGCCAGACTTTCAGTAAGAGGCATGAACATGAAACAAAATATGTGGAGCTGGGCAGAGAATAAACATGCTATAGCTTTTAAATTCCGATATTAGCAGATAGAAGCTCTATTTGTATTAGAAGCTTTCTTCTAACCTTGCTCTGCAAAATTAAGTCAAGATTTAATTAGAGTTTGTCATGCTTGTATAATTCTGTCATATGTCATAGATAGTTGTAACTTGATACTGACATTCGCCTGCTCCTCCCCACCAGGTTCTTCTTTGGAAGCAGTAACAACTTGTGAACTGTGCAAGGAGAAGTTGCATCTGAATCTGGAAGACTTTGACATTCATGAACTCTATAGGGCACATGCAAATGAACAAGTTAGTATATTTTGCCTAATTTGGTAAGTGTTGATTTAGTGCTGGGAGGGTGCTCTTTAGAGAGGGCAAATGCATCTCCTTTTCAGAAGGACCGTTATGCATATAAAGTAATGTCAACATGGAACAGATTTTTCTCCTTAATATTCAGACAAATTCTATCTTCCTGCTGTGCTTCCTATAGCTGAGCTTTCAGTAAGTGTAATATATCTTATCCTTTTCTTGGTTGCAGATCTGTCATCTAGTTTTGCAGTCCAGTGTGTCTGCCACATGGGTGCAGTGGGAGTACTACTAGTATGATTAGATTTAATTTTAAATTAAGTCATTGTCTTTGTTTTTAGCTATTTTTAACACGCCTTAGTAATCGTTTTAAACATAACATCACAAAAAACTTTTTATTGTTTTCATTAGAGTGGTAGAAACCAGTCTCTTTACTAACAGCTTCTTGGTGCTCCTTCAAGTACTTTCCTAAATTAAAAATAATCAAAGGCCCATTAGTTTTACTCTTGTCATATAAAATACATTCTCTTAGAACTACTGGGTTGTATAGTGTTTGAAAACGAACAAATAACAAAAAGCTGGTGTTATTTTAGTGAAGTTTATTCAGGGAGTTTTTCTTATTCTCCGAGTTATTCTATGAATACAGAAAGACTAATGAAATTTACCTGCCTCAGAAGTTGAAAGAAAATAGTGACACAAGTTTTGAGGGCAAACATCAATCTCTAATTTTTTTTTTTTTTACTGTTTAGCAGAAGCTAAACTACTCTAGTTTCCAGTACTTGGGCGAGACTGTGAAAAGTCTTTCTCAAGACTGCCACCATCTTAATTTTTAGCACTGCTGACTGTTACAGTCACTGTATTTCAATAGAAATAAGAACCTTGAAACTTACTTAAAGAATTGATTCTAAATGATCAGTTCAGCAGTGGCATTTTCAAAGCTTATCTTAACACGGGAAATAATTTCTCAAAACATTTATAACATCATAAAGTTCTTACAGTATTTCCCTTAATTTGGCTTTCTGTAAAGTGTTGGGAACACTGAAAAGAAACCAGCAAAGTTTGTTGCTGTTATCTTCCCCAGTGATACAATACTTGGATTTTCAGATTTCTTTCTGTGAACTTAATCATGCTAGTAAGACTTGAATAGAAAAAGTTCTACAAATAATCTTCAAGGATAACATTAGATCTGGGGTGGGTGGGAAGAACCAGAACTGTAAGTAGCTTTTCAGTAATATAAATTTAATTTTTTTTTATATTTCCTGGAACAGCTTGATCAAATATATAAAGTTTCCCGTAAAATTTATTTCTTGTTCTACTTCTTGAATAGTCTGTGAAGACATCGCTGACATTCTGAATGTTTCTTTTTATCTCCTTTAAGGCAGACTATGAATTTATCAGCTCTGGTCTCTACCTTGTAGTGTTGTTACACTTATGTGAGCAGCGCTTTTCTGATATGCTAGGAACAGCAAGTGAGGCCAGCACACGTGTTAGAGTAAGTATGCAGTGTTTTCATGGCTGGAATTGCTTGTAAAGATAACTTGGAACTAGATTGTTACCTTGAGCAACCTAGGAACTAGATATCCAGGAAGCATGCTTATTCAACAAGTTTATGTCTGGGTTTGTTGATGCAGTAACACCGTGTTTTGATTTTAAACTGAGGGTACTACTTTACTGCAGTGTTGCAAAATTATTTTTGTCAAGGTTATTGGTAGTTCATTGCTTTGCTTGTAATCATGGTTATTGTGAATTTATGCAAAACTGGGAGGTTAACCTCCCTCTGTACAAAATATGCGGTTGAGAATGTTGGTCTACCTTATTTGATTGATTTTTCTCATTATGCCAGTTTACATTGCAAAGGTCTAGGCCTTGCAGTGCTTCTCTGCTGAACTGTGCCTAACAATGTATTCGTATATTACATTTTGAAACTGACTAGCTATAGTATGGTTTTCTGGTGTTAGGCAGTACTTTTATTGATTGTATGTGATTGGATTCTTGTTACTTAAATGACTTGACTTACAAATACGGTAGGTACATATTTTACCAGTAAGAGATCATCATAGAAAGTTATTGTTGCATAGTGACTCATTCAGAAAGCCTGTATTATACATGTTTGTTTGACTCTAGATAATTATTTGGTACCCTTTGCCAACTGAGCTCCTGAAAAGCTGGTGTGATTTTTTTTTTTTTTTTTTTTATTACATACAAAGTGACAATATTACCATTTAGCTTGTCCAAGGCTTATTGGAATGGCTGCTATCAGGTACTAGCCATCTAGGATAGAGGCAGGACTGTGCTCTAATCTCTTACTGTATTAGAACAGTGGTTCTCTTTTCCATACACATCTAACATAGAGCTTGTATTCCATGATCCACAAACAAAATGTCTAGTTTTACTCTGCTGCAGGTTTAGAGATATAGAATATTAGCAAGCATCCTGTGCAGGTTATTAGCTTGAGTGTATTGCAGAAATAAGATGTTTTTACTGGTAGGAGGCAAAATTATGCAGTTGTGTTACACTGCATTTGTAAACTAGTGAGAACACCAACGTCTGTTTGATGCCAAGCATACAACTTGAGCTATGGGAAGTGTAGCATTATATTCTTGTTTCATTTTGTTTGCTGTGTCTCAACATCTGGACTGTCACTGAAACTCTCATGTAGATTGTCACATACAAAAAAAAAAACCACCAAAACTAATGTGGCTGAGACATTCAAATTTGCCTGAAGAACTTGTGTTCCTAGGGATTTTGGCTTTGATTTTGATACTACATCCTTGTAAGATTAAGCTGCCACCATTGTCCAATAGTAATTGTGCTCTTAAACTTCTTATTTACAGTTAAAATCTTAAGTGTATTTATGCATTTTTCATTAATCTCATTCAGAGGCCTCTGTTTTGCCATAGTAATAGTGAAGTAAATGAAATGGATCCAAATAATGCAGTCCTTACAGGTTATGTGATTATTTTTTTTTTACAATTTCTAGGAACAGTTTTCATAACACTGGCACTTGTTTATGTATTTTACTTTCAAAATTGATCTATTTTACAGACTGTAGAACATGAAGATGATGCCACTAACTGCTACCAGAAACATTTGACATACAGTGGAAACTGAAATAAATAGCAATTTGAAGCCTAATGTGTGGGATTTATATTAAATTTTGCATTGATTTTTTTATTTTTTTTACAACTGGGATGAGGTTTTGGGATGTGAAAACTAAAGAAAAAGTGAAGAAAACTTTGTTAACTTGTTGCAAATTTCTGCAGATAACTTTGCAACTTTTAAACTACTTTCTCTCTGCCTTGTTTCTAGTTTATTAACCTTGCAAGAACTCTTCAGGCACATATGGAAGATATTGAAAGTAGGTGCTTCCCCTCTTCCTCTCCCCTCCCATTAGATCAACTCGGAGCTAAATGAGTACAATCCTCCTTGCCAAGATTCATAATACTGAACTTAATTACTGAAAACTTGATTTTACCCAGCAGTGCTTTTTCCATTATCAGTAGAATTATTCCAAGGTTTTAATTCTCCATGATTGATTCCCCAACAGCATTCTGTTTGGACCACAGAAGCGTTTTCTGCAAGTGTTAACAAGATTCCTCACTAGTTACAGTTTGGTTATTGTAATTCTAGGAATACACAGTTATGGAACTGGTGGTGACCTGCGGGTTGTAGCCATTTACACAAGTCCTAGTAGAAAAGAAATGTTTGAAGTTGAGTTTCACTGCACTTAAATTACCATACTTCTCTTGCCATTTCCTCGTCTCCCCCCCCCCCCCCCCCTTTTTTTTTTTTTTCTATCCACACTTCACAGCTGTATGTATTCCTTGGTCTGGCCTACCTACTTCAGGAATGAAATTTAACAGTTGCCAGTTTTGGCAAAGGACTAGCTTACTTTTTGCCAAATAGCTTCTTCAGTGTGTTTGAATTCAGAACTATATGCTGGGCACAATGAATATGCAGTAGAAGGGTAGCTAGTTAATCTGCCGTTGTTTGTTTGCTTGCTTGCTTTTTTTTTCTTTTTCCCTAGTGTGCATGTGAATGTTTGAAAACATACAAAGCTTGTATGTGAATTTTCAATGCACTGGATTTAGACTGTGATAAGGGATATTGTGTGTGTCTTCAGTTTTAGTTCAAGGAGCAGAAGATGATTTGAAGATTATTATTTCTGCATTCAGAGCAAAGGTGGACTTAAGTTTGGAATTTATTCTTGAGTTATGTACATCCTTGTTAGAGTAAAAATTATGTTGTTATGTGCCATTTTACACAGTAATCTAATCTATGTTTGATTCAGGCCTTAACTTGCAGTTGAGGAATACTGAGGTTTAGATTTATCATTGATGGTACTTTGGTTACATTTCTCTTTGAAGAATTGGAGAAATGTTTTGTTTTGTGTACAGAGATGGAGCAAGTTACTTGAATATAAATACTTCATTGCCTACAGAATTTGCTTAAGAGGACAGATTAAATTTCTGTTACAGACAAGCTTAAGACGTTACAAGCCTATTGTAGATGTGTGCTGATTTTTATTTTTAAGTATGTGTTTGTTTTATAAGTCACCTTGCAGCAACAAAATTCTGTGCATAGGTGGGCTTTATGTTCATTTTGCATATGCTGAAAGAATGGGGTTGGAGAGAGGAGCTGTTTGCAACTGGGCCTGACTTAATTGCATTAAGCAGTATATATACAGTAAACAAAAAAAAGTTTGGTTGGACTGCTGAATCTTTGTAGGTATTTTAGTATCCAAATTATTAATTTCAAGTCATTTCTTTCCCTTGTGTTGGGTGCTGCTGTCATGGATTGAATATATTCTCCTCTACTGTTGGAATTAGCCACTGTAAACACTACACAAAACTTGAATCTCTGGCGTAATTAAGTTTTCTTCCCTCTATTTTGAGGAAGAACAGCAGGAGGACGCTGCATTTCATAATGTCAAGATTTGATTTGAAAATGCTGTAATTTTCAGACGAGATGCATTTAAAAATTAAGCGGTGTAATTACATAAGGTTTAGGCAGGTATTATAATCTGCTGTTTAATATTATAAAATTACCTTTATTTTTATCACTCAAAGTAGTGGAAAAAAAGTCACAGGCATTTGTCAAGGCTTCTGATTATACTGTGTTGTTCCGACAGCTTCTGAGGACGATTCTGAAGACTGATGCTGTTAGAACTTTAATACTGCAAGAGACAAATGGAATTGCTGCGGAAATGCTGAATTGGCAAGAACAACATCAACATGCATTTGAATTTTTCCTCTCCTTAGTAAAAAGTGTATTGAATATTACTGTAGGTTTTGAAGCATTGTTGAATTCAAAATCGACTGCTGCACAGTGGAACTCAGTGGACTTGAGGACTACTCAGCATGTGCAAGGATTAGATATAAAGCTTTGTTTTGGAAGACATCTGATTTTGAATATTTAAGGAAGCTATATCTCCCTCTGTTTCCTTCTTCCTGTAGTCAGATTTCTGGTTTTGTCTACCGAGTTTTGGTCCTCTCCAGGCAGTAAGTGGGTTTCAGGGTGAGGGTGGGCAGGGAGGGTGGGGATGTCCATGTACTTAAATAAGTTTTTGTTTGGTTTTGATTTTTTTTTTTTGTTTTGTTTTTTAAATGCCTGTGTTGCTGCATCATATAATAACTGATTGCTTCCAGTGTTAATGAATGAACAGGAGGATGAGCAAGATACTGACGAGATTGTTTGTTTGATTTTGGTTTATTTGAAGATTATTTAACTCAAAAAGCAATAAGAACTTGCAGAGGTCTTCTCATACTTAGTGATGGTTTTTTTCTTATGTATTGGTTTGGAAATTGGAGACTATATTTGATATTATGTGGCTGTTCCATTATGAAATATTGCAGGTGTAAACTCTTGCATTTCAGCATTCCTGGCAGATATGCAACTTGATAAAGACCTAAGGTTGTTTAGTTTAATCAGACTTTTTTAGATCCCACCTTCACTGTTCAAAGCACTGGCTATCAATGTGTTTTTTCTAGTGTTGTCACTTCTTTATAAATAAAGGTGATAGAGGTATGCATCTCTACTGGTATTGTCCATTTCATTTAAACATGGATATCTACCAGAACTTACACTTGAAAACTTAGAAAGCTATAGTCTGTGGTATATCTTTACTAATGTTTATAAATTCTTATGCAGATGTTTAAGATTGTTTCTGACCATTTTGGATTGAAATGCTTTATATGAATAGTGGTACAATAAATTGTTGTGTATTGGGGTTGGTTTTGCTATGCATATTTGTTGGGGGGTTTTAATTACTACAGTAACAGTGTCTTTGTGAAGAGCGCAGTATGTTGAAATAATCTTCAGTTCAGTTGTCGCAGCATATGAAACTAACTTATATGGAAGAAAGGATGTGCCTCAGCAGCTTAAATGAGCTCGTGTGATTTTTAGTTTGGTAGCATTACATGAGATGGTCTGTCACTTTTAAACTTGAAAGAAAATGAAATGCTAAGGGAAGTGCACCTTTCTGTGCTCATTCTGGTAACCTTAGGCATTGGCTAAGTTTCACTGCTAACATGTGCAAGTATAATTCTAGCAATTAGCTGAAATACAGCTCTCTTTCAGACCTTCATTTGAAAACTGAAGGTGTAGGTATATGTGAAGATATTTCTATTTCTGAAGGAAGTGAATTGGGTTTATAATAAAAATAAAATGTTTAATCCCTTGAGTCAGTTGGTATAGCTTAATAAAACCATACACTGAAGCAGACAGTATTTCATATGCACTTTCTAGATTTAGAGCTACACCATGAGCTCCTCTAGCCTAATGAATTGATGAGTTGGAGGATATTCCTGATTTTTTTCTGCCTTTATAACACATAGCATTCCGTGGATGTGTAAGTAACTGTGGTAGCCTTGTTGGGCTTCACTGTGAATGAAGGAGTAACACTGGGGAATAGTGTGGCGGAAGCAGTGAGGAGCAGAGCATGCTGTCTCCTTTTTGCACCATATTTCTCCCTGGGTTTGGAGACGGAGGGCATGGCTACAGTTCGTTGCTGATTCTAGCTGTTCTCAGATGTGCGTACCTGATCCTCGGGGCTGTGCCTAGAGCTGCAGGTGTAGCATCGTGATGCTGTTGGGAATGCTGCGGTGTGGATTGCCTTATCTCACCTTAGGGTTGGTATGGACCAAGGGTGGTGCTCGGTGCCATTCTGCGCCTTTAGCCCTGTGGCTGTCTTTCGGATGTGTGCGAGCGCGCATTATCGAGATGCAGAAGCTCTTTCGCTTCAGTAAGAGCCGCCCGCAGCAGAGGCTCCTATCGCGAGACCTGTGTGAGAGCGCATGCACAGTGCCACGCTCGCTGCTGTCGCGAGGTTCGGTATTGCAGCTCGGTCTCCGCCCATGTGAGGTGTGACGCCAGCACCTGCTCACTGCTGCCGCCTGGCGAAAGAAAACTGGTACTGCAGTAGGCTCCGCGCCTAACACGATGCTGCCGTGCCTGCGAGGTGATACCTCCCGGTGGTGAAACTCCGTTGTCGCACGATGTACGGGCTACCGGGGGCGTTCAGCGCGCTAAGCAAAGTAACCGCGCCGGTGCTGCCCCTGGGCAGGAGGTGCTCGCCGGTGCTGCCGCCTCGTGGCCGAAGTGCGGTACTGCAGCGTCGGTTCCGCATAGGAGCGCAGGTTGCCTGTGCTGCCGCGGCGTGACGGCCCTGGTTCCTAACAGGATTCTTCACCCTGCCGTCACTTTTCTGGCATTGACTGTTTTGCTCTTTATTCTGGTGATTGTAATGGTTGTTAGAGTCTGAATTATTATAAAACGATTTATTGACTTCCTCCTTTGAGTGTATATGTACGAGACGTTCCTACATCATTATGACCTTTGAGTGCCTATAGTCACGGGGTGGAGTATGTGGAATAATGGGGGAAATCACAGACCACCGCTTTCGCCCCCGTCCCCAAACCACGCTCTGTGCACGGTGTTTGCGGTTGCCCGTGTCCGCGCCGCCCATGGGCGGGGTACGTCCCCTGGTGGGGGCGTGGCGGTGCAGAGGTGACGGCCCCGGGCGGGCGGACCGGACCGGACCGGACCGGATCGAGCCAGGCCATGTCGCGGGTGCTGGTGGTGGGCGCGGGGCTGACGGGCGGTGCCTGCGCATCGCTGCTGCGGGGGGCGGGGCTGGGCCGCGTCGAGATCTGGGACAAGGCGAGGGGCGCAGGTCGGTCCGGCAGGCGGTGGGACACGGGGGGGGGGGGGGGGGGGGGCGAGCTCGGCGTGACGTAGCGGTTTCTGAGTGGCTGTCGCGCAGGGGGCCGCATGAGCACGAGCCGCGGTACGCGGGAAGCTGCGAGCACCGCCGACCTGGGCGCGCAGTACATCACCTTCGAGGCGGAGCGTTCCGAGCCGCGCCGCAGGTGAGACCCGACCCGACCCGGCCCGGCCTTGGGCTGCCTCCCACCGCACCCCGCCCCTCTCAAGTGCGAAGTGGGGTAGGGGAGGTGGGGGCTGGTACGCGGGGTCGGGCGGGTTCGGTGGCCGGGCGCCCTGCCCGCAGGTGTCGCGGCTCGGCTGTTTTCAGCCGGGGTGCAGATCTGCGTTGCGGGGAACGCAGGTGCTGATGGTCCCGCTGCTTAAAACCAGAGATCTTTGCTTTGAAGAGCAAAGAGTAGCCTGAGCGTTATGTTGGAAAGCTAGGTATGAAAGAAGCGTGATGTGTCTGCCCCAGAGAGCAGTGGTGGCTGTCTGCAGGGATAGGGAAAGGTTGCATTGGCGGGGCATGCTTGTGCTCGCTGGGTGTGTAGGCTTGTTTGCCTCAGGCTGGGGCAGGGGATGGTGATGTAACAGCGTTACACTGTAAAACGGCAAAATTTCTGCGGAAATCAGGGGAAAAGAGCTGTTTTTTAGGCACCTGCGTCCAGCTGCTGGACTATTCCTGCTTTCCATGGTAGCAGTGCAGTTTGTGCTGATATTCAGAGCTTTAAGTAACTGTCGTTTGTGCTCCTGCCTCGATTAGTCTTGACAACCTTCAGGTCGAAGTGCTAAGTGTTTCTGTTACAGGCGGTAGGTAGCCTTGGTCTTGTGTAAAAGCTCAGCCACTAATAAAACAGCATGCTAGTTTGTTGTTTTATAGCTATGGTTCTTATTCTTGCATAGCCTCGCTTGAAATGCAGGTTGCATGGGATCGTTAAAAATTGTTCTCTAAATCTGAAAGTTAGGTAGTCCTTAACTTTAATTGTGAAAAATAATGGCAGCTGCTATGGCTTTACATGCAGCATATCTTCATCTTTGTGTTGTTTGCTTCATTTAAGCTTCTACGAGGAACTTCTGTCTCACGGCATCTTGCAGCAGCTGACTGCACCCATTGAAGGAATGGTAGTGAAAAAAGGCTCATGTAATTACGTGGCACCCCAGGGGATCTCCTCAGTTGTCAAGTATTATTTAAAGCAGTCAGGTAACTTTTTAGATGCCATTGTATGAAATGAAAGGTTTTAATGACTGTGGTTTTAATGGTATTCTTGAACATTCTCATTTGAGATTTAAATACAAAAAACAGTTCAAGTTCCTTTTTTGTTTATATATGTCTTGAAGTTGCTGATACGGACAAACATGTCTGGGAGCTCTGTAAATTTCTAAGGCCTGCAAGCTCTTCACTGACTTTGGCTGCACTGCTGGCATATAAGCATCTCTATACGAATTCTCTGGAATTCCCTGTTACATGTATTTAACTTATTCTTTCTCCAAGCAGGTGCAGATGTCTTCTATGAGCAGCATGTAACTCACATATCTCTCCGAGATGGGAAATGGGAAGTCTCCAGGAAAATGGGACCACCAGAACTATTTGATATAGTTATTCTCACAATGCCTGTTCCACAAATTCTTCACCTGCAAGGTGACATTGTAAACAGTAAGTTAATACCTCAGAATCGCAGGTATCTAACCTAAAATGGCAACTGAGCATCTTGTATAGCAAAGAAGCACTCATCAGTCTGTTAATAGGGTGAATCTGAAAATGATAGGAGGTGGATAATTTCAAGGTTGTATACCTGGTATGTGAGCTTGATAGCAAAAATGCCTAAATAGATGGGTCAGTTTTCAACCCAGTTTTTAATTTTTTTTACTTCTAAACCAGGACTTGTTTTTCTGTAACTTGAAAATATTTAGTGAATTGGACGAGGGCCTCAGCTGGCCCCCATGTGTTAATTTCCTTGTCACTATCCTTTTGTTGACATGTTATGCTGATTTTCAGTGCTCCCTTTGGTATGCCTGCAGTAGTGGTGACCCAGAAGAGTAGGACTTGAATAACAGCTGTGCTGTAGGGAAAATTGTG